GCAGGGAACTGTGAAGGGGGATATTGAGTGTATGATACTATAAATTATGTCAACACCCTGATAGTCTAATAGAAAGTACCTTATGTCTTTTGGCAAATTCCAAGTGCATCTTCATTGGTTCTGCAAATTCAGTACCCTCTGCATCTTTAGCCATTTGTTCACAAAGTTGAATAGACAATACCTATTTGAAAAGATAAAAAGAATATCTCATTTCCAACTGCTTTCTACACTTCTGGTCCACAGGCAGCCCAAACAAGAGAAATAATCAAGGGTCAGCGCAGCAGGTGTAAAATTTAAAATATGGATGAAACTAGAGTGCAGAGTCCAAACCATTGGATTCTAGGTTCCTATTCTGTGCTTTTAAAATGGACCTAGCTTATACTTAGTCTCTAATAGTACTATTATTCATTACTCATAATCCATGAAGATTATTTCTTTCTTCAATGCAGAATTTTGAAGCAAAAAGAAGAATCTTATGACACCATCACCTGAGGGCAGCCATGTTAGATGGCAGGAACAATACAATCCTTATGCATGAGAAAGAATTCAATTCCTAAGGGCAAAGGGATTTTATTGGTCTGCCACCTAACCACAGGCGACCACAGGCAGTCCAAGATGTATTTTAGGTGCCCATGATGGTGCAAAGCCTCTATTCCATAAAATAACACAACTTCCCGATGATAGAGTGGTTTTCTTGCTTAGTTTAYTCCATAACATTTACAACCAATATACTGTCAAAAAAACTAAAAACCTGATCTGCAGCATCTTCACTGTGCTCCATTGGCAGATAAATAAAACCTCTTTCAGGCAAAGACTGCTTTAGATGATCATGGGTGTTTCTTTCTAAAAACTGATTCAATAAACAATAATAATAATAATAATAGTAATAATAATAGTAATAATAATAATAAGTATATGTAATAGGACTCCATGCTGTCCAATTAAGAAAATAATTGGACAGTTACCTATATGGAATTAATGAGAAGCTGTATAATTATAATAATAATAATAATAATATTAACAAGAAGATTCAAGAAGAAGAAGATGAAAAAGAAAAAGAAGAAAACATTTATTAAACCCTGAATCATTCAAAGGGCCTAAAACACTCTATTTATATTATCATGATGGTGATTTGAGGACATTTGAACCCGAGACCCTACCACTACAGCTTCCCCACCTTGATTCTATTCTTATATTTCAAACCTTTCTTGTAATCTTTCTAGCTCTTTCATCTCCATCAAACGATCTCGCATTACCCTTGTATTTGAAAAAAATTACTTTAATTTATCAAACAAAAATCACTACAGAATGATAAAATCATCATCAAAGACCACTTTACCCTGAAAATACTTCTAGTAAACTGATCAGTTAGAATGATCAAAGCAAGTGATGGCTTTGGCTCTTGTTCCCAGTCTTGCAGTCCTCCCTGAAGGGCATGTTCAACCTTAGGAATACAAGGTTATATTAGAGGCTATAATAGGTAAGAAGATTTGAAGATTTACAGGACAAATTATTAGCCTACTAGGGGGGTACTCCCCTATATTCACTATACGAGTACGTGCTGCCAAACAGGGTATGGTTTTCAGCGATTCTACTCTGGAACAGGGTATTTAAAATCGTGCTCACTCTGGGACAGGGTATATGAAATCACACTCTCTCTGGAACAGGGTATCCATTTTCGCAACACCAGAACAGGGTATGACTTTCAGCAATCTTGCTCTGGAACAGGGTATGAATTTCAGTGATTTTACTCTGGAACATGGTCAGGGTTCAGTGGGCTCAGCGGCACATCCCTACCCTAAGCGGGCAATAGTCCCCCCCCCCCCCTGGGGGTGGCATAGCCTTAATGACAACACTCACCCCTGTCTTACCAATTTTCCAAACTTTGTCATGATTTCTTTGTCTACTTTTTCTCCACCTTGAAACCATTTCTTCTCTCCTCCTGGTTCAAACCAGTAATCTAGAACTTTTTTCCACTGATCACCACCATTACCGACATTGCTTGACATGCTTTGGAGATGATATGCTAGTGGTTTCTTGCTATATATAATAAACAAGAGTTTAACTAGATTGCTTGAAATCTAGAGCATAGAGGCTTTGCACCTCATGTGATGGCAGCCATGACAGGAGGCACAACAATAGARTATTTTCCTCCTGGGAAACTAAATTCTTTATCGGATAAACAAGATTGGACCACATTCAAATGTTCCTGCCTCCCATCAAGCATGGCTGTCATAAAGTAATAATACTGATGATGATGATAATGATGATAATGATTGATAATGATAATGAAGAGATGACGCTGACAGATAAAAAATTATTTATAAATGACATTTATAAATTAATTACATGCGTGCCATATATAATTAAATTATATAAAAAATCGAGGCCCAAACTATATCTCTTTTTCATCTTTGGTAGAGATTTCATAAATGGTAATGTTCAGTCTACTCTGCAAACTTTTCAAAATTCAAAAACTTCAAGATAGAGTGCTCACACTAAATCCGTGAAACAAATACTAATTTTTAGCACTAAATAGTGATAATTAAACAATAGAAAACAAAGGATTCTGTATGAAATAGTACTAATTAGTACTATTTAATGTTCACGGTTTTAGTGCGTGCACTCTAATCAGACATGAAAAACATCTGTACTAGAGGTGATAAAAATTCTACCTTCGCATTTTTTTAAACGTATCGTTTTATGCAAAGTATACTTTTACCTTAGGCATCCTAAGAACTTTAAGTTGAAAGCATTTTTAGCGCATATAATACGAAGCATTTTGCAGAAGATTTAGTACAAGCATGTACAAATATAAGATGGTCGTTTCGATCGAGTGGGCTCTGGGTACGAGATAAAGCGCGGTATAGCGTGACGTTCATTTTTTTAAGGGAGGGGTACAAGAAATCCGGTGCTTGAAATATCCCTTAAATTTCAGTTAAAACACCTTTCCAATATCATTAACAAGTGCTATTGATGAAAAATAGGGATATATAAGAAGATAATTGAAGGTACAAAAGGGATTTCAAAACTATTTTTTGTACAAATTGTACATCCTAAAATATGTTCCCGACTCCTCTCCCCTAAGAAAAAATTTTTTTCATTGTGTTCACGAGGAAACTGCATGATGCCAAATAGTTGTTATTTTAATTCCCAGAGGGACTTCGACATTCCTTGTAGTGTCTTGTGAGAAGCCAAGTTACAACCAATTTTGAGTCGTTTTCTAGGTAAGAAAATGAATTTGTAAAATTTGTAAATCATTTTATGGGCATTTAAAGGGTTTCCTCGGGCGCACAAAGCCCTTCAAGTGCTGTCAATTTACTGTAACTAGACACGGCTTGATAGTTATTTGACACGCTATGACTTGGAACCCTTAAGTTCATGACAACTCAACGAGGTTTTGACTATAAGTCAATACTTAGGAAATATGAAATATCCTAGGGGATATCCTAGGGTATTTTCTTCGGTCGTTTTTGGGATGATAGCGTTTGCAAAAAATGATGCTTTTCACTTGGACGCGCATATAAATAGATTTTCCAGACTAAATATGGATACAGATTAATCGAAGATGTATTTAAATAGACCTATCATAAGAAATAACCAAAAACAATTGAAAGTTCAACTTTAATTTTATAGTTGTCGGTTTGGCCACAGGTAGCCCAAGCTTGGTTTCTGTGGTGTCCTGTTATAAGGAAATGTATGGGGATTCATCAAAAAAGTCAATAAAATCATTGAAACGTGAAATAAAGCCTCGAAATTTTACCCGATCATTGATAAAGAACACCACAGAAACCAAGCTTGGGCTACCTGTGGTTTGGCTTCAAAAATTTTTGCATCCATCGAAATATTTATCCTAATTTTAATATTAGGCGGTTTTTTGGCGGATGTATAAAGGGTAACAAGGAGTGCTAAACAAAGGATTACAAAAGCCAATAAAACCCCACCAAGCGAGACAGAATTATTCAGAAAATGAATTTACTTAGGAATAGTTTTGATCCAAAAGTTACCTGCCATGTGGGATACAGTCACCAGCCTTCCACCTCTTATTATATTTCCRAACCATAATCACGTTTTACGTATTTTATAGTAATATACAATATTCGCRTGAGATCTGTATGAGGTCTACCAAAACAGCTCGCTTGCAGCTCCCCGGGGTGGGGGGACTCCGGGAAAAAATGACCGGGGATGCTCGTCGTATCTCTTAGGGGTAAAAATTCGAGATTTGGTATCTTTTAGGGTGTTAAATGCGAGTTTTTAAAAATCAGCATTTTCTGGTTTCTCTTAGGGTGTCGGAAAAGGAGAGAAGCGTGCATCGATATGGCTTATTCTAGGCGCTTTTTATATGCCTAGTGTAAGAAGAATAATTACTACTCGAGGAATGGTATCTCTTAGGGGTTAAAAATCATTCAGCCAYGCCCTTTTTTAAAGACTTCCGGTATCTTTTAGGGGTCTTTTTGAAAATATTACTTAGATTATATCTAACGGCAAGCTTTACTTTGTTTACTTTATAGACTGTTCTTGGAACAAAGATGTCTGCCGAAGATTGGAATGCTGTTCTTGATTACTGGTTTGGARGGGGTGACCCTCAAAAGAGACCAAAATGGTTTGGTGGGGGGGACCCAGCTGCTGAAGAAATCAGACAAAAATTTGGACCTCTTGTGAGTACAAGACGACTTAGAATAAAGTGTATGGTTAAAAATATATTTGTGAACAGTAATTGGAAGTCAAAATTTCTTGGGACTGTCAGTGTGCAGTACGAGTGGTTTATTGTGGGGTTGTCTACCCACACATACCCAGACTTATGCCCCCTGCACCCCACATACAAGGGCGAATCCAGGGGGCAAAGGGGGGCTGAAGCCCCCCCTTCAGAAAAAAAAGCAAAACAAAACTGAAGAATTAGATGCTTTTTTTATTGTTTTCTGTTGTGTTGATGGAAGAAACTCAATTAGCCCCCCCCCCCTAAAATTTTGGCTGGATCCACCCTTGACATACCTAGGCCACTAATTAAAACTGTAGGTCCCTTTGGCATATGCAAGGTGAATTCCCCCCTAGCTGAAATTTTGTCATGTCCTTCACCAAGGGGATAGCAATAAAGTTTTTTTTTATATTCTTGGCTGCAACATCAAAGTAAAACCCATCTGCTTTGTGTTTCTAGGTTGAGAAGGCAAGGAATGATGAGTTGAAGCATTGGGAAGAAGATCCCAAGSGAACATTTGCACTCATCTTGTTACAGGATCAGTTCTGTCGCAGTCTCTATAAGGTAATTATTCTGCATATTATTGGATTAACCTTGACATTATATTCTTATACAAACAAGAAATAAAAGGCTTGCATTTTGCTCCCCAAAATAATCTTTTTCTTGTTCGTTTTTCAGGGAACTCCAAAAGCATATGATAGAGATCCTTATTGTGTTGAACTTTCAAGAAAGGTAAGAACAAAATGTTCTCCTATTTTTTTCCTCATTTATTCTTTTTCTTCTTCTTCAGTGTAAGTTTGGAAATATTCTTTTTGTTTTAGTTTCTCGAGCAGAAGACACATGACCATCTACAAATCAGCCCTGCCGGTCGTATGTTCCTTTATCTTCCCTTTGAACATGCAGAAGATAAGGAGACCCAGGTCTGTAATTTAGCTTATATTATATTTTGAACATAGAATAATATTTTGCTGGTTTGCATTCTTATAATCCAGTACAACTATGTAATTCTTTAGGCACTCGCAGTGGAGTTGTTTACTAAACTGAAGGAACATGCAAAGGGAACCTTTGATGAAAAAAGTGCAGAATTCTGGCTTGCTTATGCACAGAAGCATAAGGTTTGTRATGAAATTCAATCAAGAACGTATGGGAATGTATTTTTGGTCAGCATAAGACAATGATGTAATTCTCATTTAAAATTAAGGAATGAGAATGTCAGAAAAAAGCAAGGAGATGCAAGAAAAATCTTGGAAATGCTTAATTCCAAATTTTATTTGGTTGTTAATTTCAGGAAATTGTTGATCAGTTTGGGCGATTCCCCCAACGCAACAAGTCTTTGGGTCGAGAGGACACACCCGAGGAAGCAGCCTGGCTTGCAAATCCCCCACCTGGATWTATATTTTAGTATGCATGATTCATTATGGTCTTGGAAATCAATTTTGTAATCAATTTTGAAATAAAAAATAACTTTTACTGACACCACTACTGCATTGACAAGCACCTAGAGTAATATTTAACAAAGTTCAGTTTTTCTTATTCACTTTGAGGAGGTATTGTTCAGGTTCACTGGCAGGGATTATTCAAAGGTGTGAATGAATCTTTCCTCCCTCTTTTCAACCTCCCTCTTTTCAACCTCCCTCTTTCCAGCACTGGACCCTTCCTGAAGTCCCACCACAGGCCTATGCTTACTGCAAAGCACCTTTTCTTGGGGTTAATAGTGCACACTTTCTGCTTCACTAGCAGCACACTAAACCAACGTACAATAACGACCAATAAAACTGAAGAAGAGACAAGTGCTCTGAACTACCGAAATAAAAATGCTTTCTTTTAACTAAGTTCAATGAACGTTTGTATGAACTATTTACATTCAAGTGAATTAACAGACTACAAAATACAATCTCTTCTATGGCTTCCTATACAAACAGTAAAGGATTCAGTAAAGGATTCCCAAAGGATTCTATTATGAGAAGTGACTTCTATGGGCTTTCAACACAGAAGCATAAATACACCGAACATTCTTAGGATGTGGAAAACATAAAACATTTCTTCGAGAATTTCATGAAATATGATATCTGATCACCTATATCCTTCCTATCAATTAGACAAACTAATAAACTAGCTAGTTATGCCACAGTTTCACACATTTCTGAAAGTCAAAGATCTAGTAGCATGGAATATGTTTTGACTTTGGTCCGGTAAACTTACAGTGGTATGATCCAGGTAATAGGTTTATACTTATGGAACCAAAAGCCAAGGCCTTTCAAAATTTTGGAGTTCATCGAAATGTGAAAAATTGTTTGTAATTACTTTTGCATCGGTAACACTAAAGTATTGGCCTAGGTGTTGTAGTATAAGACAATCTACAGTCTATGAATTAGGGTTACAAAGAATGAGTTTCAAATTTTTGGAGTCCCTTCAGGTTGTAGCATGCTTTGAGAAAATAAGAAATTTAGAATTTCCTTAAGTGGGAAAAGAAAAAGAAAAAGAACCAACTGAATAGGAAAAGAAAAAAGGAATGTACAGAAAGGCGAGGAAAGAAAAAGGAGAATTAATTGGTTGATATAAGTACTTGCGAATCAATAAATTCCCACGGCAGATACCATTATTTTGTTCTTATGCAATATTAAGATATGAGCTCCAGTGATATATTCTCCCTTTGATAATGCTAATATTTCTTCTCCTCAGCCAGATAAATCACCAGCTGCAAACTTGGCCTCATCATATTCTTCAGCTTTAATTGTTCTACCTCCAAACCATCGATTGTCTAGTGCAGCTACTGCTTTTTCAGTTTCTGGGGAAGAACACATTGATAATTTTATTAATGATTAATTTAAGAAGTGTAAATATAGAGGATATTACATGGGTGAGCGGAGATACATCATGAGATATCTAAATTGAACACAAGAAGATAAAATTTGTATCTCCAAGTGGCCATGTAATGTTCTGTTTATTATATAGATATCGATGAAACTTAAATAAAACAAAAGCTCAAAAMCTCTTTATTAAAATAGCAAGCCGATTCAACAGCGATATCTTAACGTGTGAAAGATATGGTATTTTCCACTGGTGAAAGATATCAAGTTTTCGACACTAGAGAAAACCTGGTATTTCATGGATATGGTGAAAGATATCAAGTTTCGACACTAGAGAAAACCTGGTATTCATCGATRTCTATATAATAAAAAATGATATTATGCGTTTAACACTCCTGGGTGGCTACCATTTTTTCCCAACCAAATAGGCCTTTTGCAATAGATTGACAAGTGATTGTGAATTTGGACGTCCTTTATTTAACGATTTTTCATGGAAAAGAAGCATTGCAAGTAATCTTATACAGTAACTGCCAAACTGCTGATCAACCATTTAGAATGCCAAGCACTTCAAGTCTAATCATGGTTCTGCAAAATCCCTATGTTGTTAGAATGAATGCACTTACCAGATGTGGATGAAAATTCAACAAAGATCTTGACAATCACTTCTGCATCTTCTTCTTCTCCTTGCTTCTCTTTATAGATAACCACTCTGTTTACAATGCCAAATTTACTGCACTCATCTGTGACTTCGTGCTCTAAGTCTTCATCCAAATCTTCAACTCCCACCATGTTTCGAAGGACCATCAACTTGGACTAAAATATCATTAAAGGATCTGGTTATTTTGGTGGCAGTAATGACTTAATGGATAGTAGGGCATGGTAGGGGGACGTAGGGTGTAGTAGGGCATAGTAGGGGTAGTAGAACTTGTTAGGGGACTGGTCCACTCTTCCAGTTTAAATTCACAAGAAATTTGCTTACTCTAGAACCTCAAACTTCTGGTCTAATTTTTTTTTTACAATTTATGATTAACGTACGCACATTGATGCATTATTAAAGAAACCTGAAATAATATGATTAAATTATAATAAAAATAATAATGAATGAATGATAGAGTGCAAATAATATACCCGTGAAATAGTTAGGATGAAATAGAAGTTAGTTAGCGCTTAATTAGACAAGACATAGGAATTCAGTGAGGCATGACAAGGGCACTGGCGTTTACTAGAGTAACRACTCAACACGCAAATGAATAGATACGAAAATGCGAACATGTCAAATTATACGAAGGAAAAGCATGTACAACAAAATGTGTTTATAAAATATTTWAAAATGCGTGCCCTTGAGTAGCACACATGYACTAGTTTACTCATCACAGCTCGCCTATTTTAACTAATTAGACTTAGGCAACCAAAGGCTAGTAATTAGCTAGCTAGCTATCTATTTCACGGGTATATTATCTGCACTCTATCATTCATTATTATTTTTATTATAATTTAATCATATTATTTCGGGTTTCTTTAATGGTACCAGGGGAATAAAATGAATAAACACCATCAACACTAACCTCAATCTTTCGTGATAACTTCTGCATGACCATATAGCGTGCATTACTACCAGAAATTGACATATTCTCTTCATGACTAATGCTTCCTTCCATCATTTTCCTTTGGGCTTCCTCTTCAATCTTGGCCCTGACTTCAGCCTGTTGCTGGGCTATAGCCACTACTGACTGTTGTTGATGCTGCTGCAGTTGAACTACAGCAGCTGTTGTGGATGTCAAGGCTGCTGCTGTTGTCATTACTGGAGTGGCAATGACAGGTTTTACTACTGCAGTTGAAGGAACTATGGCCCAGAAGAAAAGGAAGAAAAGAAAAAATAACCTTATAAATGCATCCAAGATACTCACTACAACTATATCAAGTAACTCATTTGTGAATTCTCAAACTATAAATAATTATAACGAAAAAACACAAAAGTAATTAGTCACCCAGAAGTCCGTAGATCTGTAAGTTGGATACAGAATCCATCTCAAAAATCTTCGAAAACATTCGGTAACCACTACTGTAATTATTCAAAAAAATTCCTATTGATATGGGTTTTACAATGGCTTGTCCTTGTGAATGCACAAACATAATATTGGCTGCTCATATTTTATACATTTACTTAGGAGTATTATTTACCTGATATCATAGCTGTTGTAGCCAACAGGGGTTGGGATGCAAGCCCTGTACTCAACAGTCCTGCAGCTGAAGGAAAAGTGACCAAGCCAGGTGTTGTAATGACAGGAGTGATGACATTAGTGACAGTTGGTATTGTTATAGTAGGAACTGCAAAAAAAAAAAAGAAAAAAGAAGTAAAACTTGAAAAAAGATTTCATATTGAACCCTGAAACAACCTTTGGACTGATCTAAGGGCACTACTAACTCACAGATGGAACCCTGAAACAACCTTTGGGCTGATCTGAGTCAGGGCATGGCTGACTCACAGATCAAACCCAGAAACAACCTCTGGGCTGATCTAAGTCAGGGCATGGCTAACTCACAGATCAAACCCAGAAACAACCTCTGGGCTGATCTAAGTCAGGGCATGGCTAACTCACAGGTCAAACCCAGAAACAACCTCTGGGCTGATCTAAGTCAG